CAAACAATAAAAATCAACAACTGAATCTCAAGAAAATAAGAAAAAAGTTTATTATAAACTTTTTTGTTTGCTTTTGCAAGCTTCACCTAGGATGTACCTTAATTTTATGCTTGTATGTGGATATTTGTTATGTCTCTGTTTGCTTGTCTGTGTGAGTAAATAGCTAGATACATATAGTACACATAAACATCATATAACACGTATAAATAAAAACATTTCTCTAGTAATTCCTCATAAATCATAAAGCCAGGCAGAGAGCAAAAAGAGAAAATGATAAAACATCTACACGTCACTATATATACTGTATGACTGTCATTTTCGTATGAATATACCCGATGCACAAGAAACCAGTATCTTGTTCAGCTCTCTCATATACAACTTTAGAGGCTTGACTTTTCCAATAAAATCATTAACCAAATGTCGAAAAATACAAGTTCTCGTAGCCTCGTCCTCTTTCTCTCTTTCCTTCTTTTTCCTCTTTTCCTTTCTTTCTTCTTCCTCTTTGTACATCCTTTACTTACACTTCGATCATTACTATTCCGCGTGTGATCATGATTGTCTCATTTGCCGCCCGATGGAGAAGCAGAGATCGCTTCTAACAACAAACAGACGGGGATTTTCTTGCACTCGTGATTCATGTGCGGGGAATAAAAGCGTGGATGGTTGTCTCACGTGTTCAAGGTAGTTAATGAACGAATGAATATGGTTATTTGTGAATAAGATGTTCAAGGTTATTGTTTACTGAATGAATCAATGATGTTATTGTCAATAATCAAGGGATTATTATTGTCAGTTTTACTGTTTATATATGAACCACTCATTAAAAATGTATTGCGTTAAATGAATGAAGATAACGATTTCTGTATTCCAAGTGAAATATTCGTTTAAGAGAATAGAATTCCGACAGGATCAATTTCAACTTTCTCCCAATCCTCTATCTCTCACTCACTCACACTCACTTTCTCTCTCTGTCTCTCTCCCTCTCTCCCCTTCCCCCTCCCTCTCTTCTCCACCCTCCAACACCCCTTTCATCCCACCTCTCCCTACACCCATTCTCAGAATTTCTTTTGTGAATACTCAAAATAAACTGTATGAATATATGTTTGTTCCTTCGTGTGCATATATATATATATATATATATATATATATATATATATAATATATATATATATATATGTTATATATATAATATATATACATATGTATTTGTACATATATATACACATGCATATATATATATATATATATATATATATATATATATATATATATGAATATATATATACATACATATGTACACACACACACACGCATATAGGTATATGTATACATACATATATGTATATATATACATATATACACATGCACGTATATGCATATGTATGTGCATGTACACACATACACACACATGTATATATATATATATATTATATATATATATATATATATATATATATATATATATATATATATATATATATATATATATATATATATGAATATTCATGTATTATTATTAAAATAATAGGGAATTATGAATGTGTGCATCTTTGTAAATATTATTGGAACCTATGTTATTATTGTGTATATTAGAAATATGTATTAATTTTGAGGATTATCAACGTATGACATATCTAGTTGTGATTTTGTTATTTAGTTGTATACGAAGAATTGTCAAATTTAAGTTCTAATGAAGATATGTTGATTAGTTGCGGAAATCGTTGCGCATTGTAAGTTTCTTTTGTCACGAGGAAGCGTTGTTTACAAACTGAAATGAGCGGGACACGCGAAGGCTGCCTCTGAATATGACGTGTTGAAATTGTCAATTTTTGTTTCATAGATATGAGGTAGGGACATTATTTGAATTTGTTTTATTTCTTGAGTATATGATTATTGAAATTCTAAGTTTTGGTGGCCTGACATAATGATTTATTGTGGATTGAGGAAATTTAAATGTCAGTGTTGGAGATACTCAACTGTCATTTTCCATAGAAGGCTACATGGTATTATGTTGATTTTGTGCAGCCTGATGACTGTCGGGCATGGAACGGACCGAGTTTGGGAGAGATTTCATGTATAGCATAAGCATCATCATTTAGGGGCGAGGTGCCATGATGTAAGTGTTTGAAACTATGATTATAGATTAGTGCTGCAATTTTTTTTGGAAGATATTGTGTGCTGGTTTTCTGTATATGAAAGTTTAATCACTTTTATTTTGAACAAGTCTCCAACGTTTTGACCTCTTAATTATTTATTTGTGTGCTCATTGACTTGTCATTTGCCATTTGTTATTTTGAAATATATTGTTTACAGGTTGAATAAATCTGAACCTACATAGAAACTGCTGCATATTATTCTACTCATGGTGTAATGTGAGCCAATCCCTGATTGATGAGAGTCTATTGTTACAATTCATACAGTTAATATTAAGAATTCACAAAGAAATTCTGCACTCCAAAAAAGAAAGAAAAGGATTCACTTTAAGCATTGATATACTTCTAATAACAATAAATGAAAATAAATAAACGTTTTTTTTCGACTGCCGGCGCTCCCGCATATAGCAGTCGAGGACGAAAGCAAACAGCTGATCTCAGACTCTTCAAGCTGATGGGGGTCTAGGGGAGAAGTGGTGGCAGGGAGGGGAGGGGGGCAGCAGGGCAGACTACCCTCTCTAAGCTCTTACAAGAAGTCTTAGGCTCCTCAGCTCGCTATAGCTTTTGACAGGGCAATGGGGATTTGAAAGGAGAAAGTGGGGTCTGGTTGGCTGTGCTGCCCGAATATTGCATAAGTGCTTTGTGTGATTCGTTGCGGATGTGCTTACATGCACACACACTCACACACGCACGCACGCACACACACACACACACACACACACACATGTATATATATATATATATATACATATATGTATATGTTATGTGTGTGTGTGTGTGTGTTGTATGTATGTATGTATGTAATGTATGTATATATATATATGTATATATACATGTATATATATATATATATATATGCATATATATATGGTATATATGATATATATGCATAAATATATATATTATAATATATATATATATATATATATATATATATATAATATATACACACACACACACACACACACACACACACACACACACACACACACACACACATATATACATATATATATTATATATATGCACCTACAGTTCATATGTATTTCAATGGACTTAACCCAGCTTTCGCCTAGAAAAAAAAAAAAAAAAAAAAACATTGGTTGTCTGCCAGCTATATACACTCTGCGTCTCCCATATACTGGCATTTTACTGAAATTATTCAATGAATTTAAGCCCTCGGAATGCTTTCAGCCCATGGACTGTAAACAGAAAGAGTTGGTTCAGAAAAAAAAAATATATATATATCTGAGGGTATATCTCAATACAAACCCAATTAAAAGAGAGATGACTTTATTGATAATGATGTATGATGTTAATCCCCTGCTAGTTTTTAAACAATTGTTCGAAAAGTGCTGATAATCTATGGTTTATCTATATATATATGTGTGCGTGTGTACATAAATGCCTACATGTGGTCGCTCACGTGTGCGTGTGTATTGTGAGTGAGTGTTTGTGTTTGCGTGTGTGTGTGTATGTATGTGTGTATGTGCGTGTGTGTGCGTGTGTGTGTTTGTGTGTGTGTGTGCGTGCGTGTGTATGCGTGTGTGTGTATGGCTGTATGTACGTATATCTTCTTCAAGCGCCGTATCAGAGCCTGACGATGCCCTTGCAACCCTCGCAACTGCACAGCTGTTGTTACCGGGCGAAGTTCCAAGATGCAAGGTCGTGTTACTTGACAGATTTTGGGGGAGATTTCATAGTTCGTAGTTGTAGAACTGATAATGCAGAAGTGGTTCCCCGTTGTAGGATGACTGAAGCCTTCACCACCTGCCTGATAATGCGGCCTTCGTTGTAGGCGTTGGAGGTCATTCGTTGCCCCGTCATAGGTCACCGTTGACCACTCTGAAATAGGTTTGGGCTTGGTACTATCCGGACTTGTAAAAGTAGGATGATAGATGTACTTATATACATATAATTTATGGATATATTTGTGATATATGTCTACATCTATTATCCGGATTAGTATCAGGTATGCGATAAATGAACTCATATGATTTATGGATATATATGCATATCTACTATCCCGACTCGTATCATACGTGTGATAAACATACACATACACATGTATGTATGTATATATACCCACATCATACACCTCTATCCTCCCGAATCCCCAAGTGTTTCCAACAAAGGGACTTCCTCCGGTCCCCCAACTCCTTCCGCTTCGCCCAGCTTGCCAATTCATTCCTTTCAATATTTGGAGGAGGCCTTTCCGTTGGCGCGCCGTCGTGTTTGGTCAGTCGGGCCCCTAACCCCTTGTCGCTCCTTAATTAGGGAGAAAGGGAGTGTCTCCAAGAAAAGGGAGGAATCGGTAATTACTTTCGGATCTTGTGGGTTAATTGGGGGAAAGAGAGAGGTAGGGAGGGAGGGGGAGAAGGGAGGAGGGAAGGAGAGAGGGAGAGGAGGGAGAGAAGGAGTGAGTGAGTGAATGAGTGATTGGTTGATTGACTAAGTGACTGAGTGAGTGTGTGTGAGTGAGTGGATGAATGAGTGAGTCAGTCAGGGAGGGAGTCAGGGACGGAGGAAGAAAAGGAGGAAGAGAGAGGTAGACGGAGAAAAAGGTGTGGAAGGAGAGGGAGACAGGAAGAGAGATAGATAGAGATAGATTTATGTACAGATAAAACGAGGAATAGAGTACGAGGGAGAAGGAAGGGCAGATAGAGATAAAAACGAGACAGATAGACAAATGAAAAATATTTAAATAGGGAGAGAAACTGATTTTGGAAAGACATAGGTAGATTGACAAAGAGAGGAATAAACTAAGAGGGATATAGTTGATGATAAATCGAGAGATAGATATAAGCAGAGGGAAATTAGCGGTAATACTAACAAAAAAGAAAATAG